CGCATGGCTGGTGGGTAACGACACTGTAACGACGGGACTGGCAGCGCACTGGCGCGCAGGCATACTAGGCGCGTACTCAGTACCCGAGAAAAAGAATTTTGCGATATAACTCGCTCGCACAACACTGGGTTGTAGATAGGAAGAGGCGGACTCCCTAGGGTGGGCGACGGCTAGCGCACCACACACCTCTCCTTAAAATCCCTGTGTGGTGGCGGCGTGCCGTCCTCCCATCCCTCCCTTGGGTTGTCTGTTTTCTTTCTTTCTTTTACACTGGGTTGTCTGTTCTCTTTCTTTTACACTGGGCACGGGACTGGCGCGCACTGGCACTAACACAGGTACACCACGGGAGCCGCCTAAGCGACTCCCGCGAGGACGGCGAGGCACTTAGCTCCGTGCACTCGACCGCCCTAGGCGGCCTCGCCGTGACTCAACCACCGCCGACCCGATCACCTGGCGTCTCTAGGCCGCAGCTCGCGCAGTTCCTCCAACGTCTTCTGGCCGAGCGCGGATTTATCTACCGCTGCGGCTCGCTCGTCCTAGATGTGGAGATCTAGTCTCTTGTTCATACGTCAATGGAAGTCGTGAAACGCACGTGGCCTTGCGCCGCTGCTCGCCGTCTCTTCACACCCCCCTGCCCCGCAGGCCCCTCCTCCTCAGCCTGGCGGGGCGGCTGCCTGCCCTCCTCCGGCGGAGGAAGAGTCGCCTGCCTGGCGGGCCAGGCGGTGCGCACTCCCCCGTTCGACCTTGGCGGACTCACCTCTCACATCGTCCGACCCCGCCGCGCCTGGACGGTGCGAGACGTGAACGCATCTCCTCACAGCGGACCGGCTGTGAACAGGTCCACGCCGTCGCGCCAGACGGGCGGCACGGGGGTGTGAGGCGGGAGGGTCGCGGCCCGCTGCTGGGCAGCCCAGCCGTTAAAGTGAGCTCCCCCCTCCCTCAGGCCCGCGCCGGGAGGGCCGCCGCTTGCTAGAGCAGACCTACCACGCCGCCCTGCACGCCGCCGCCGAGGCGCGCCGCAGGGAGCCTCGCCCTCCGCTCTGGTTCACACCCTTCTTCTCTATGCTTCACACCCTTCGTTTCTAGGCGCACGCAGGGAGCCTCGCCCTCCCCTCGATCGGCTGCGGCGTCAACGGTTGGCCGCCCCGCCACGCCGCGTCGGCCGCCTTCGGCGCGTTCGAGGCTCTGCTCTCCTCGCCGCCGAACAGAGGCGCTCTGGCGAGCGTCGACTTTGTGCTGCGCGAACAGGCGAATCTAGGCGAATTTGGGTGAATCTCGACGAATCTCGGCCAAACCGACACGTTGTTTGTGATCGGCAAGCAGGGCGCATGGGAGGCGTGGCTGGCGGAGGCGAGAGGGCGGTACGGCGCGCCAGAGCTCGAGCAGGAGAGGGCAGGAGAGTGTCCTCCTGACAGCGGGCACGGCGATGTGTTTGTCTGGCGTGTGGCGACAGCCGGCGTCGCGGCAAGGGTCGGCTACCAGGGTGAGATGTGAGAAGGGTAATAAAATAAATAATCACGGACAGCTCTCTTCTGTGACGTGTGAGCTATGGGTAAAAAGGAACAGGTCCCTGCCCGTGCGATCTTTGTGCAGGGTTCTTTGTGGGTGTGGTCGGCGACTAGCCGGGGTCGTCCTCCCGGGGGACTAGCACTACGGCTCTAGCCGTCTTCCACATGGTCCCTCGGGTTCCTGCTGCTCCTATTCTCTGGTAGAACGGGTACGAGATGTATGTAGGGAGTATTCGCAAAGAGGAGCCCCGCGCACGCACGACTCCGCAGGAGAAACCCCTCCCGCCCGTGCTTGCGCAGCGCAGCCTCCTCCTAATCTCTTCGTACATCCTCCTGCACTGATCTCCGCGCAAAGTCCTGCTCCCTCCCTCGTCTCGCCCTCCGCGTTTGCTCCGCCTCCCCGTCTTCTGCCCTGCGAGAGGGGGGGGCATGTCCCTTCCCAGTTTTTCATGCACCCGCTCGCGAACACTTTATTTGTACCTTCTTTTTCATGTAAAATTCTTTTTCATTGAGCACTATTGTGTCAGGTGCACCGAGACGGAAGAGACGCGGCCTGGCGGTGGCGCCCTGGCCTCACAGCAGCAAGGCATGCGAGCGCCACGGGCTCTACGTTTCCTTGGAGGGTTTTCTTTTGGGTACAACATATGTACATAATCGGTCTGAGGGATTAGGCTTTCGCGTTCAGGGTTGCGCCCATTCATGCCCAGCGCGACAAAGTGCCACTGCCACTCCGCGTTGCCCGAGCTTCAAAGTTCATCGCGCGCCTTGAATGAGCGCGAGCCTGCGCCGGTGTAGAGCAGGCTAGGGGTCTAGCGACAAGCGAGACGCCACGGTAGTAAGCAAATTGCAGTCAGAGAAGGTTCGAGACGCGTGGGCGTCGCGGCGGAGACGATGGGCCCGCTGGGAAGAACCTGCGAGGCTGCCTGGGTGGCAGCGGAGGCAGAGGGCTGGGCGAAAGAAAGGATCGAGGCTGTCTCGGTGGCATGGGAGGCAGGGGCAGCGGTCTCGGCGGCTGCAGAGCCCTTGGTGGCGGCGGCGCGAGTGCTCTCGCACAGCACATGTCGCCGTCGTAGCCCGCTCTGTTCGCATAGCACGAGCGCTGGCAGAACTTCTGCTTCGCCCAGTTTTCGTTGTGCTTGCAGAGCTTCTCGTATGCATAGGGATACTGGCCACAGACCAAGTCGTTGCTCTGCATGTAGTTGTTCCGCTCGTCCGTGCACTCTGTGCAGGGCGTGGGAGGCGGCGCGGCGCAGCACACGTCGCCGTCGTAGCCCGCTCCGTTCGCATAGCACGAGCGCTGGCAGAACTTCTGCTTCGCCCAGTTTTCGTTGTGCTTGCAGAGCTTCTCGTATGCATAGGGATACTGGCCACAGACCAAGTCGTTGCTCTGCATGTAGTTGTTCCGCTCGTCCGTGCACTCTGTGCACTCTGCTCGCTCTCACCGCCACCAGCGAGCGCCGGACCGCAGCCCGGGGCCACGCGGCCGCGGGGCACCACCGTGATGGCGGCCTCGCGGCCGACCATCGCTCCCGACGGGTGCCACATTTGTGCGGAAAGCTGGAAAGCAGCGGAAAGTGGGAAATTTCTTTGATACCTTATAGAGTAAGCCCAATCCGAATAGTTGGTTGCCGCGCGACCTACCTGGGAAGAACCGCGAGAACTTGTTTAGCATGCGCTGGAATGCGCCCGCGTCAGCAGGGGCCAGCCGGCGGCCCGCGTCCGATGTCCGCATCTTCGTCTCGGCTGCACTGTACGGCAACGCGGACATCATGCTGCGTCTGCTCGCCGACGTCGAGAGGCATATCGCACCTGCGCTCACTGTGCTCCACGTCTCTGTTGGCAGCCACCTCAACGAATCTCGCCTGATTGCTGGACGGCAGCTGCTCAACCCAGAGAGCCTCAGGATCATGAGATATTCCGGGGCGGGCAGGCTCGCTGCGCATCTGCGAAATTGGGCTCATCTTGAGCGCCATCTCGCCACGCGTGAGCCCGCGCGCAGCCATGATAAGGTGGCCTTCCTCGCAGCCAACTAGCGCCTCTTCCGCGATTGCCGTCCCCACATTATGGCGCACGAGATGTCCTTTTCACTCGGCCAGACGACCGACTTTCGTTTCAATCAACGTTTCCCGCTACTTTATCCGTCGAGCGAGTGGGAGATGCTCTCTCGCAGAGTCGCTGGGAACGACGACAGATTCTTCCAGAACAACGGAGAGCACCGCCACTTTGTGCGCTTTATGCGGAATCTCAGTGCTCAGGCCATCGATGCGGGCTGGCGGCAATCACCTCTCACTTACATGCCACACGAGGGCAGCTTCTACCCAGTCTGGCTTCTGCGGCAGTTCGCAATTTCCGTCTACAACGGGAGCGTGATCTTCAATTCGCATGCCACTCTTGAAGGTGGGAGCTGTGGCTGGCACTGCAGATATCCCGAAGAGCAGCTGCTACCCACCTTTGTCTGGCAGCGCCATCCACAGCTATTGCGCGAGCGGCGCAACGGGCCACCGTTTGTCTCGCGTGCTTGGGTGATCAAGAGGCCACACACAGCGGCAGAGGCCTTCGCGTTGTCCAACCTTTCCAAGCCTGCGCGGAGCTACATCTGCGGGCTCAAGCTGTCCACTATGCAAATTTACACGCTTCCAGAAGGTACTCACGACTTTGGGGGGTAGTGCCGTGCGAGATTTTTGGTGCGGTAGTTGAAATGGGTGTCACACACACTGCGAACTACGTGTCAGTGATAGAGGCTAATGAAGCATAATGCCTCTCGTCCGGTCTAGTCAGCTCCTCGAAAATGCAGTCAATTGCTCTACAATATAACTGCTTCGGTGTACAGTTTAAATTAGTTAGTTAGTTAGTTTCCATGTGTACATACTGTCGCGGCCTAAAAAGTCTGTGCATGTTGTCGGGGACACGATCCCGGCGTGAACACAACTAACTGACGGATCCGCTTCTGACAGTGGCACGCACCGCGCTGTGGCGCGTGCCACTGTCTTTGTTTGAAGTTAAAAGTCGAATCAGAGCGCCGTCGGCGTTGTCCCCCGATTTTCTCCCCCGGACCGCCCGTCCGGGACCGCTCCGGGACGCACGCCGGCGAAGCACCATCAAGCTGCTGTACGGCCCCGGCATCGCCTTCCAAGGCTTAGCTAGACTGAGAGATATTGTGCACATGGTTGGTCTCTACAATATATACACTGACACTTCACCTCCCAGAGCTCGTCCCGGTCCGCCACGGCCATCCTCGGCCTCCGGAGGGCCCCCGGCCGCGGCGCGGTGCGGCGGCGTCACAAATCCGAACGCAGAGCACCGGGACGCGGTCGGGCGATCTGAGGCCCAGGTAGGCGTATGCATTGCCCATTCGGGGCTATCACCTGGACCTATCAACAGGCGCCTGCGGCGCCGTGGTCACGAGGTGTTGTTCACAGCTGCCCAACCATTCATGCAGCACAGTAAACATGCGCAGCCTCCCGCTCGACCTGCCGCTCTCCCTTGACAGAGATGCGCAGCCTCCCGCTCGACCTGCCGCTCTCCCTTGACAGACTCAACGCGGAGCTCAAGAAGATTGGCGATGCGGCGCAGCACGCCGTCGAGAGCCAGATCAACGAATTCAAGGCCGAGGCGGAGAAGGCCGAGGCGGATGTCGGGTTGTGGAAGCAAGAGGGCGCGTTGGCGGCCGCCGCTTCCTCCTCCTCCGCGGCGGCACCCGCGAGCGGCGCCTCGGCACTCGAGGCGGACGTGGAGGCGGCGATCGCAGCGTCCCGCTGCAGATCACCGCCTCGGCCGGCGGCTGGCGACGACGGCGAAGACTCTGCCGCGGGTAGCGCCACCCTCTCTCCGAGTGGTGCGGCGGCGGCCGCCGGCGTGCTGCCTCCGTCGCTGCCGGCGCAGCCGCTCTGCGCGCCCACCAAGGCGGCGCTCTTCTGCGCGGCGATGCCTCCGCCCCTCTCTCCCTCGAGCCTGCAGGCCGTCGCGGCGGCGAGGAGGGCGGCCAACGCGCGCGTTGAGTCGGCGGGGGGTGGTGGCGGCGGCAGCGCTCAAGGAGGTGCTCGCAGCAGCAGTGGCGGCAGCGGAGGCGGTGGCGGCATGGGGTGCGGCGGCGGCATGGATGGCGGCGGCAGCGTCGGGCTGGCTCCATGGGAGGTGCGCTGATGGGTCTTGATCGCCGATCTCGAGGCTGAGGAGCATTGTGAATCACGAATCAGTCACGACTCACAAGGTGCGCCTGCGGGGTTTGATAGCAGAGCTCGAGGCGGAGGAAGGAGCGGAGCAGGGCGGAGGCGGAGGGCGATCTTACGTCCTACTTCACCTGCGCGCGCTGCAGGACGAGGTGGGGCGGGAGATCATGATCTCCGCAGATCTCCTTTGGGGGGGAGTGCGTCTCACGGCGTCCCACTTGTGCAGGTCGGCGAGGCCATGGGGGCGGCGGCGGGCGCGGGCGGAGGAGGCGAGGCGGCGGCGGAGGAGGCGGCGGGGGAGGACGCGGCGCTGCAGGCCGAGGCCCTCGTGCTCAGCGAGAGTAACCTCGGGTCATCTCGGGTGACCTCGGGTGATCTCGCAGGCCGAGGCACTCGAGGCGCTGAGCGACCACGCCGAGGCGCTGCACGACGCGCTGTCCCGCACCAGACTCACGTCTAGTACTCTATCACTAGTAATGACGAGCCAGGCGCTGCACGTGGCGCTGTGCCGAACAGAGGCGGAGGCGCAGCGGCGGATTGCGCAGGCGGAGGCGGCGGCGGAGAGCGACCTTCGCAGGGCGGAGGCAGAGGCGGCGGAGCAGGCGGGCCGGCTCGCGGCGGCGGCGAGGAGAGAGGCAGAGAGCGTCGCAGCGGCGGAGCGGCTGGAGGCGGAGTTGCGCCGGGTGAGCGAGAGGGCGGCGGCGGCGTTGCGGGAGGCGGAGCAGGCGAGCGCGAGGCTGGAGGGGCGGCGGATCTCGGCGGATCTCGGCGGATCTCGGCGGATCTCGGCGGATCTCGGCGGATCTCGGTTGCAGGCGAGCGCGAGGCTGGAGGGGCGGCTGAAGGAGGCGGAGGCGGAGGCGGAGGCGAGCCGTGCGGAGAGGGCGGCGGTCGAGGCGAGAGCGAGCCAGGCGCGGCGCGAGGCGGACGCGGCGGTGGCGCAAGAGAGCGGCGGCTGGCGCGAGGAGCGGGCGTATGTGCGCACGCTGATGATCCGGTACATGGAGCTCGAGTCAGAGCACGAGGCGCTCTTCCCCGCCATCACCCCCGGCCACGGTGCTGCACACACGCGAATTCATCAGTACCTCCGAACGCGCAATCAATTAGGCGCTCTTCCCCGCCATCGCCACGGTGCTGCATTTGACGCGCGACGAGGTTGCGAGGATCCGCGCCGCGCAGGAGGCGCACGCGTCGGCTACCTCTGTGTGGGGGCGCACGGTGCGCGTCGGCTCCTCTCTCTGGGGCGCGGCGAGCGAGGTGGCGACGGAGGTGTCGAAATACCGCACGCAGCAGGGCGGCTCGTGACGCCGGACGGGAGTGATAGAAGCGATTGAGTGTCGAGGAAGGGAGTGACCGCCGCGCGCCGGCACCCCCCCTGTATGCTGTATCTGGCTGGCCTGCTGGCAGCGATCTCTGGCGCGCCACGCTCTCGCGTGTGGGCATTCCTTTTTGAAAACATGCAGAAAATCCAAATCCAGAAATACGAGGAGGTCGGTGGGGAGGTCGAGGAGGCGGACGGGCGGCATGCGGGGCGAGGGGGCGGTGGTGGCGGCGGCAGCGCGAGCGGCGGCGCGGCGGGGTGGAGCCATATATGTGTGCCTCTCCGGCGGCTGTCGCCTTGGCCCCCGCGGCCACCTCCGCCCGGACCGACTTTGAGGCCGCTGCAGCCCAACCCACGACAGCGCTGAGTGGCGTCAGCGGACTTTTTTCAGAGATATCGGTGTCGAAACACCGCTCTGACAGCGCTCACAGCTGAGCGCCTTCGTTGTTAATCTCTACTGTATCGAGGTTCTCGCGAGCTGGATATCCTTTGGCCGCGTTGGGCAGCGAGGATTGGTGTGACGCAGTGGGGGAGAAAAGAAAAACGACTGGCTTCGCCACGCGCCGCAAAATCATGATGCCCTTTGCCGCGTTGAAGGACGTCGTAGAGGCGTTAGGGGCTGGGCGAGGCGACGAGGCGGCGGTGCTGGCGTGGCTCGACAGCGGCGGGCGGGTCAACGCGACTTGCGGGGAGGGCGAGATGAGTGGCGTCACTGTGCTGATGCTCGCCGCCGGCAACGGCCCCAGCGCAATTGGACGCGTCCGGCGTGCGGCAGGCCATCGAGAGGTCGAGGTGCGGGCACTGCTGCCGGAGCTGACGGAGAGAGTGTGCGAGGCTCGCGGCACGGGCGCTGGCACGTCGCGTCACGTGCGCGGGCAGGCAGCGCAGCGCTGCGGTGATCAGTAAGTTCTCGGCCACTCGGGAGCCATTCATGTTCCAGATCAGATCACGGCGGTGGCGGTTGGCGACGCGCTGCATGCGGTTCAGCACCGCGGGCGAGAGCTCGCTGAGGCTTCTCAGCGCGCTCGACGCACCTGCTGCACTCAAGAAGGGACGCTCGGCCATGGTGAAGGCCATCCTGCGCCACGGCACGAGACAGCTGAAGGGCAGTCCGACGGACCAGAGCTGGTCGGAGACGAACACCGAGAGGGCCCCCGCGGCGAGGCCATCATAGATCCGACGGGAGGAGGGCGAGTCGCCGCGAAGGACAAGGTTGAAACGCGCCCGCGCCATGAGCGACCTGAATGCGGGGTTGGAGCGGCCCGCGCGGCAGTTGGTGGTGATCCCGCCGCGGCACGGCGCAGGCGACCCGGGGAGCGAGAAGGCAGACGTAGGCGCCGGGGAAGCCGTCGAGCTGGGCCAGGGCCGCCTGCCGGAAGGCGTAGCCAAAGGTGCCGCGATTGTTAGCCCCTCCCTGGAAGTAGAAGCTCACGTCGCGCTCCGGGGCGGACGCCGACCGGAGGTGCGACTGCGCCGCCTCGTTGTAATTTGCCGTGTATGGCGAGACGACAGAGCAGCGCCAGAAGGCAGACTCGTCGTCGTGGCGGGTCTCCATATGGCCGACAATGGCATTCCGAAACGTACGCCGGAAAAAGTCGTTTGGCAGCTGGCCTTGCTTCGACCACCTGTGCGTGCAGGGGCGTGCCAGCAAGCGCAAAACGCGGTGACGCTGGGGACAGAACCTCGGAAATTCGTGTGGCGAACTTACGGGGCCTGCGCCGGCGGGCGCTGGGACAGCTTCCAGGAGTTGCACACGATGAGGTGGTCGGCCCCTTGGTGCCTTGCGTACTGCTCGGTGGAGGCGACCGCTGCTGCCGTGGCATCCAGCAGCCGCTGGTAATGCGTCCCGTTGCATGAGGTGCCAGCGACGGAAGGCTGCAGCGCGGCGTTGATGTACAGCGGCACAACGAATAGCAACGCGGTAGCGGGGTCGCGCACGCGCCAACGATGACCGCGCAGCTGGCTGAGGAAGTAGTGCTCACCCGAGTACTGATCCTCAGTGACCGTTTCACCGCGCAGCCCACGCGCACAAGGCTCGAACCACGTGCCATCGTCGATATTGGGCCCTTCGTACAGGAAGAAGGGCAGCTGGAGGCGTCCGCGGATATCCTCGTGGCGCTGATCTTCAACCGAGCCCTCCTCGGACTCAGCGTGTGGCAACCCCACGTCGCCCATCCTGATCGCTGCAGGGGAGTTCACTGTGAAAGTGCTGAACTGACTAGATTTTCTAAACAGTAGGACAGCTGAAGGACAGGTTCGCTCAAACGTCACAGTATCGTTTTGATGGCACTTGGCGGCACAAGATCTCCCGAGCCCAAGGCACCGTGATTGGTGTGAAGAGGCAGGTTCATGAGCTGGTTTGTCTGCTGCCACGCTCGAGCGAGCTCCTCAGCGCCCCCTCCTTCCATGGTCATGCCTGGCGGTGCTGGATAGCCCAGGCATATGTAATCCATGGCGAGAAGGCCAAGCAGGCGTGGCATCGTTACGTTTAGATCATGAGGGCTCACAACGACTTCGCGGCCGCATCCATCCTTCTTCGTCGACCCACGATTCTTGGGCTCAAAGCTTTTGGGTGCCATGGCGAGAGGCAATCTGGTGTGCAAGAGGCTGCGCAGCCGACCACTGTGCACGGTACGGATCTTCGATTTCGTCGCACCCTCCACAACATTCCGCACCGACGCCGCCACCTGGCTGTTATGAGCTCTCGCCCAACCCCTGAAACTTACCCCTAGAGGAGACTTTGGGGAGTGAGATAAGAATGATGGCGGACCCACATCGGCCCCCCATTTCGACAGACTTTATAGGCCCCACGAAGGACGCTGGATCGCATGGCGATCGATATGACATGGGCGCTCGAAAGGTCGTTACAGTATGTGTCAAGTACGCAATATGTTTGAACGGTGTGAACCGTTGTGAACCGTTCACGTGAACGGTTCGTTCACAGCCGGCCCGCGGTGCGATCTGGTTCACGTTCACGTTCACATGTGAACCGTTCACGTGAACGGTTCGTTCACTCGCCCGGTTGTGAACCGGAAGCCCTGTGCTGTAGTCTATGAACAACTAACTAAACTCCGGTAAAAGTAAGTCCGAAATTGCACCGCCGTCGTGGTGCGCGGCGCGCGGCGGCGCCACTCTCAATCACAGAGGATGGAAGCCTGCCCTCCTCGAGCCGAGTGGCCAGGCAAAGGAGCGCTCACCCCTGCCAGCCTCGCGCAGCTTCAGCGAGTGAAGCGCTCGATTGTCGGCAGGGGTGCTCTGGAACCAACCTTCAACGGGCAGTTCACAATGGGCGATGACGAGGCTCCATGCACTTGGGACTGCTTTCGGCGGGCGTCCATGCTTGAGCCGCTCGCACAGCAGGTGTTTGCACAGGGCGTCGCCGGCGACTTCGTTGAGGCTGGCGTATACCAGGGCGGCCTCAGCATCTTCATGGCTGCACTCCTGCACGTCAATGGCCAGCTCGGGCCCCGGAGGATGTGGCTCGCTGACTCTTTCCGTGGCATGCCGCCGCTCGACTACAGCAAAGATGCGAGCGAGCGGGCGAGGCTGGCAGCGGACGACACGTTCGCGGAGGGGAGCCTGTCAGCTAGCCAGACGCTGGTGGAATGGCACCTCTCCCGCGTCCTCGGCGATCTCGACCGTGAGGCGTCGTCGCTCGGCGCAGCATCCGTGGGGAGGCGTGAGCGGCTCAGGGCGAGGGCTGGCTTGTCGGGGCCACCGCGTGCGCATCGGTTCAGCTGGGGTGATGGCGTAGCCCGGCAGCGGTGCTCACGAGGCCGCTTCGCCTGCCTAAACCGCCATGACTCCGATGGTTGCTGGTGCCTCTCCGCGCCCGCTTCTTTCATGGACAATCGTGGCCGCAGCCGCAGCAGCAGCCTTCCCGGCGGCAGCAGCCGCAGCGACGACCACCGCCGTGTTGATGGCGGCACGCCCGCGAGCGCAGACCATGCACGCTATGCGGCGGCCGCTCCCCGGATGCCGGCAGGCGTGCGGATGCTCCCGGGCTTTTTCAATGAGACGCTGCCAGGCCCCATTGAGCGCATCGCGATGCTCCGGGTGGATGCGGACACATTCACATCGATCGACGAGGTCCTAGAGAGGCTCTATCCCCGCGTCAGTCCGGGTGGATTTGTGGTCTTCGACGACTGGAAGATACCATTCGCCCGAGAGGCGATCCTGCGCTTTCGGCGGCGGCACAACATCAGCGAAGGGCTGACCTTCTCGGCCTGGCACTGCAGGCGGCCATTCCGTACCATCGATCCTATGGCTTTCTGGCGTAAGCCGCGGTGAATGGAGGATGGGCCGTCTGCGCGCCGGCGAGCTTTGAACGTACGCTGTGAGCTGGGTGCCGCCGCTGGGTGGGTGTGGCGCGTGGCATCGCTCCCAGGCAGGGGCCGATCCGCGTCGTCGGCACATGCAGGGGGGCGGGGGTCAGGCGTCACGTGACAGACGTCCCTTCCACAGCTGCGATCGTGCGATGCTGCGTGCCGGCCGTCAGCACTCTGCCGCCACTCTTCCGCCGCCGTGACCGGTACCGGTGTGTGAAAGCGTCCCGAGTAAACGTTGCCAGCACTCGACACGACAAAGGTGTATTGGGCTCGAAGGCGCGGCGAACACAACCGCCTCGAGCGTACGAGTACCGCTTAAACACGAACTGAGGGCGGAGAGGGGGGGGCGGCGGCGAGGAGGCGGGAGAGCTGGGTCCAGTGCGCTCTGCTGCTGGGGGGGTCGGGACCCCCCCCCCAGCAGGAGCGCTCTGCTGCTGGGGGGGTCGGGACCCCCCCCCCGCAGGAGCGCTCTGCTGCTGGGGGGGTCAGGCCCCCCCCCCTAGCAGCAGGGATGAGCTTAGTTGTGCAGGGGGGGTAGCGAGCAGAGTGCGGCCGCTCTAAAGTACTCATACTCTCTCAAAGGCAGGTCACAGCCCCGCTCGACCTCAGTTCTTCGTGCCGAGCACGGGTGCACGCGAGCTGGCCCGCAACATCGCTCACGGAGTTTGGCGAAGTGTGGCCGCTGTTAATATCGAGGGTGCCCCCCTCCAGAAGTAGTGACGGAAAAACCACTCACGGCCGCGCGTGCACGACTCACCCCGTGGAACAAATATTGCTAAAAATCTCTCTCCCCCCGTGGCATTCCGAGAGAGTTGTTTTTGTTTTGCATTCCGCCGCAGCACATATTTATGCGAGAAAAGAATAACACTAGAGAAACAAGAAGTCCTCGCTTTCAGTTGGAGTCGATCGGAGCGGCCAAACACGGAAGAAAGGAACTGATGAAATTACAGACAGAGCAGGCCCTGATGCTGAAATTCTGCAAAAACCTGGCCGGCCCCTGCGGTGCCCCCTACCTACCTACCTACCTACCTACCTTACTTATGGGAAACTAAAAAAGAAATCACTCGATGGGTGAAGGAGGGGTACTAACTATACCAACTAGAGTGATGGCTGGTGGTACTCTCCTGCAACCACAGTCCTTCTTGTGACATGGCAGGCCACTCTCAAGCCCTACAAGCACCAGATCACCCATTTGGGGAGGGTTGGCCTCGTGATTTGCGCGCAAAATTTCTTTTTTTGCTGAAAATTTCAGCTTGAAGAGAGGGAAACCCCCGACGGGAGGGCCCAGACCTACCCTACCTACCCAGGCATTAGGGCCGCCCAAGCAAATACGAGAACAAGAAATCCTAGCTCGCAGTCGGAGGTGCCGGCACCGACCGGGCTGCTTGCCAGATGCCCGCTCCGTCCTCGCCCAATGCAGCCACGGCGCTGACCAAGCCGCGGGCGGGCGGCATGCCCATGCGGCGCGTGCTCGTCCTCAACTGCGGCGGAACGATTGGCATGCAGGACACGGCTCACGGGTATGCGTGCGGCCCTCCCGGCTTCCTCAGCGGGATCTGCCGCTCCGTGCCGATGATCCACGACCCGGCCTTCGACCTCGCGCCGCACCTCGACGCCGTTGACGCCGCGTCGCGCGGCGACATGCTCGTGACGCCAGTCGGCGAGTTTGGCACGCGCACGCTCTTCCGGATCGTCGACTACGATCCGCTGCTCGACTCGTCCAACATGACAGAGAAGGAGTGGGTCCGCATCGCCTCCGACATCGCCGCCGCCTACGACGCGTGGGACGCCTTTGTCGTACTGCACGGCACAGACACGATGGCCTTCACTTGCGCGGCGAGATGTAGCCGAGATGCAGCCACGAGATGGAGCCGAGGTGGAGCCGAGATGCAGCCGATATTCAGCCGAGATGCAGCCCCGAGATGTAGCCGAGATACGCAGCCCCGAGGTGGAGCCGAGATGCAGCCGAGATGCAGCCCCGAGTTGCCGAGGTGGAGCCGAGGTGCAGCCGAGGTGCAGACGAGATGCAGCCGAGGTGCAGCTGAGATGCAGCCGAGGTGCAGCCGAGGTGCAGCTGAGATGCAGCCGAGGTGCAGCCGAGGTGCAGCCGAGATGCAGCCGAGGTGCAGCCGAGGTGCAGCCGAGGTGCAGACGAGGTGCAGACGAGGTGCAGACGAGGTGCAGACGAGGTGCAGACGAGGTGCAGCCGAGGCGGCCAGACACGATGTCCTCCGTGGGCGCTCTCGCCGCCCGCACACACTGTTGCAAGAGCCGCCAAGCTCCTCTCCCCAAGCCGCCCCCCCCCCCCCCCCCCCCCCGCGACCCCCCAGGCGCTGTCGCTCTTCCTGCACAACCTCGCAAAGACAGTGGTGGTGACGTGCTCTCAGATCGCGGCTGCTCACCGCAGCAGGCTGCCCTGCCTAGCTCCTCTCCCCCCACACTCTCGTCCAGGTGACGGGCTCTCAGATCCCGCTCGTCCGCCCGCGCTCGGACGGCATCGCTGTACTCTCCCGGCGCGTTTCTCAAGGACTGGCATTCTCATCCACATCCTTCTTGCTCTTAGGCATCTCCAACTTCCTCGGCGCGCTGCTCATCGCGGGCACCTTCGACATACCCGAGGCTAACCCTAACCCTAACCCTAACCCTAACCCTAACCCTAACCCTAACCTCATCGCGGGCACCTTCGACATACCCGAGGTGGCGCTCTCGGAGATAAACAGCCGAGATGCAGCCGAGATGCAGCCGAGATGCAGCCGAGGTGTAGCCGAGGTGTAGCCGAGGTACAGCCGAGGTGTAGCCGAGGTGCAGCCGAGGTGCAGCCGAGGTGTAGCCGAGGTGCAGCCGAGATGCAGCCGAGGTGTAGCTGAGATACGTGGTTTCGACTTCCCCCGCTCTGGGAGACTGTCCGACTGGAGAGTCACCACCAATGAGCAGTGATGAAGTCCTTCGATGAGGAAGCCCTGACTCCCGAGGTGACGCTCTACTTTGCGGATGCGCTGCACCGCGGCAACACCGCCGCCGTCAAGCTCGGCTGCATGACTCCTCCCCCCTCCTTCACTGTGAGCCACTCGTTGATCAGGCAACCGCGCCGTCAAGCTCGACGCCTCGGGGCTCAAGGCCTTCGGCTCGCCCAACCTGCCCCCGCTCGCCACGATGGGCACCTCCTGCTCCGCGGGACCGCCAAGAGTTGGCCGGCGACACCAGCAGCTCACATCAGCGAGTAGGCATCTCTTGCTCTGTGCGGTGGGACCTGGTGCGCCCCCCACATCTCCCCATATCTCCCCATACCTCCCCATACCTCCCCATACCTCCCCGTAGGTGCGCCCCCCGTCGCCGGGTCGCTTCCGGCTGATGCCTGACTTTGACCCGAATCTGGTCATCATCCGCGTGTTCCCCGGCCCCTTCACCACGCTGCGAAACACGCTGCAGCCGCCGCTCAAGGGCGCGATCCTCCAGACCTTCGGCGCGGGCAACGCACCCGACCGAGACGCGCCGACCTCCTCTCTATCTCGGCGACATCTCGGCGACAGCTCGGCTATTCCTAATTAGGCGCCCGACCGAGACGCCGACTTTCTCGACGCGCTGCGCGAGGCGAGAGATAGCCGAGAGATAGCCGAGATACGGCCGAGGTGCAGCCGAGGTGCAGCCGAGAGATGAGTCGATGTGCTGTAGCCGAGCGGCCGCGGACTCACCCTCGCCAGCCGTGGATCGGAGCCTCCTCGGAGCCTTCTCGGAGCCTTTTTCGGAACGTTCCTTCGCTAGGCGAGCAACCGCGGCCTGGTCATCGTCAACGTGACGCAGTGCAACGCCGGCTACACCTCGGCGATCTCTCGGCGAGATCTCGGCTGTCTCCCCCGACAGGTGACGCAGTGCAGCGCCGGCTCGGTCGAGCCCGCGTATGCGACCGGCCAGTCGCTCGCCGCGGCGGGCGTGGTTGCGGGCGGCGACATGACTCCGGAGGCTGCGCTGGTCAAGCTCGGCTGGCTGCTTGGGTGCGCCAGCTAGAGGTAGCGACGGGCCTCCTCGGACTGTGGAAGGACGAGTTCATTGGTCACCAGGTGCGGCCTCGCGCCCGAGGAGGTGCGGAGGGGGGACGGGGGACGGACTTGCGTGGCGAGGTGGCGAGTCAACCAACCTGGCTCATCCATTCATCCTAAGGTGCGGAGGATGATGGGGACGGACCTGCGTGGCGAGGTGGCGAGTCAACCAACCTGGCTCATCCATTCATCCTAAGGTGCGGAGGATGATGGGGACGGACCTGCGTGGCGAGGTGACCAACCGGCAGGCGCAGCGCTTCTCCCTCAGCGACGGCGGCTTCCTCCGCCGCGTCTTCTCCGCGGCCTCCCTCGAGAGCGTCGCGCAGGCGGACCCGTCCGCCGCCGCGCCGCCACCCTCCTCCCTGGCAGAGGGCGAGGCGCGGCTGCCGGAGACGTCACGCCGACCCCGGAACCAGTGAGCAAGAGGCCGCCCCCACACCTCCAGCCGTGAGCAGGCGCGGCTGCAAGAGACGTCACCGCTCGATGGCCTGCTGGCCGAGGGCGGCAAGGAGGCGCTCCGGGACGGGCTCTCTCGAGCGGCGAGCTCTAGCCGAGATGGCGCCGAGATGGCGCCGAGATGGCGCCGAGATGGCGCCGAGATGGCGCCGAGATTGGGCCGAAGTTGCTGCCGAGCTGCTGAGGCAGAGGAGCGTGAGCGGGCGGGAGTACGTGAGCTGTGCGGCTCTCTTGCCGCAGGCGAGTGCGCCGCACAGCCTTGACGGTGCGCTCGCAGACTGCTCCGGGCTGCTGGCGCTGCGGCATGGTGCGGCGTGAGCACGTAGACAGACATCTGGGAATAGGTGGACTTGCAGACTACTCTGGGCTGCCGGCGCTGCGGCGGGCGCTCGTGCCGACGCTTCTGTGCGCGGCGGCGGGCAACGGCGACATGCAGGCGACGCTCGGCTTCGGTAGATGGCTTCAGAGGGACACGTCCGCGACACGTCCACGACATGTCCGAGACACGTCCCGCAGGCGATGCTCGCCCTCGTGGCGGACGGCGCCGTGTTGCGCACGTCGCGCGACTACGACGGCCGCACGCCGCTGCACCTCGCGTCTTCAGAGGGGTGCGAGACAGAGTCGTCGCCTCGCTGCCGCAGCCGAGAGCAGTCTTCGTTCAGCCCTCCGTGGCTGATCAATGAGCAGGCGAGACGCCGTCGTCGCCTACCTGCTGCAGCCCGAGCACGGCATCCCGCTCTCGGCGCTCGACCGGCACGACGACGCGCGGCGGGTGCCACTGATGAATGAAGTAACGGCGACGCACAGGGGCGGGTTGGCCGAGGGTAGGCACCGCCGACTCGCCCCTCGCCGACACGCGTGCTCGGGCGAGCCGTCTTCTCTCACCAGCGAGCTGCCGACGAGTATAGGCACGACAACACGCCGCTCGCCGACGCGTGCAAGTTCCGCCACCGGCGGGCCGTCGCCCTCCTCGTCGCCGCGGGCGCGCGGTTGGGGCTCCGCCCGCTGAGGCTGGCCGGTATTCTGTGCGCCCTCGTCAAGGCGAGATGCAGCCGAGATCACGGGAGATCGCGCGAGGTGAAGCCGAGATCACGGGAGATCGCGCGAGGTGTAGCCGAGATCAGGGAAGATCGCGCGAGGTGCAGCCGACGTGTTGCTGTGTGGTCTCTCTCTGCGACACCTCGGCCAGTTCTCGGCGAGATGTCGGCATGCGCTCTGATCAAGGCGCGCGACTACGCGGGGCTCGAGTGCTACGTGGCCGCGCGCGCCGACGTCTCCGCTGCTGACCACTCCGGCACCGTACCCTCGGAGTATCTCGCGTCATCTCGTGTCATCTCGCGCCATCTCGCGTCATGTCGTTGCACTCTCAGGCACCACGCCGCTGCACGTTGCAGCCGTGGACGGCGACGTGCGCGCGACGGCGAACGCGCTGCTGCCGGCGGGCGCCAAGCTGAGGTGACGCGAGATGACCGAGACGACTCGAGCTTAGGCGACGCTGCTGTCGGCGGGCGCCAACCCCGCGGCCACCGACAGGTGGGGCCGCACGCCATGGCACGAGGCGAGCGACGCGGCGGCGGGCGGCGCAAGGGCGGCGGCCGGCGCGGGCGAGCCGATCCATGGCGGCGTGGCGCCGCACGACGGCCACGGCGCTGTGGCGACCATGCTGCGGCAGCACGGGCGGCTGCGGCAGGACGGGCGCATCAGCTAGGCGGCACGGCGGCCTCAGCAGCACACGGGGGGGTCGGTGCCGATCCGCCCTGCGCTGCGCTGCAGGGCGGATCTGCAGCGAAGATGGCGGGGCGCGAAGGGACGGGGTTTCTTGAGGGAATGGCCGCCCCAAAAGCGAAAGGCGTACGTGACTGCTTCCAGACGAGGAGTGATTGGTTTTGTAATTCTTTTTCTGGCGGCCGCTCGACCGGCCGACGCGGTCGTTCCGGCGGCGGCGGCGGCGTCGGCGTCGCGAGCGAACTGGCTCGCATTCGACGAGCGACCCTCTTCAGGCAAGTCTTCACCAGGCTGAGTCCACGGTCAGGGTGCCGAGCTGTTGTGTAAACGCTCCGTAGAGAGCCACCAGACAGAGAGGGGCTCAGCCGACCTTCCCAGGCCCCGGCGGGCCCCAGGTCCCAACCCCAGAGACCGCCTAAGCACCTAAGCGGCCTAAGCGGGGGGGCGCTTAGGGTGCTTAGGTGCTTAGGTCGCCCTCGCGAGCGTAGCTACGTGCTGACATTATCATACGAGTGATCCTGAGTACCCACATGATGTGCCTGCCTATCGCTAAGCACGGGATTGCGACCTCACAACGCTCACGATCCGGTCGAGCCCTCGACATATCACACGCACGCACGTGGGGTGCCGAACCCACTTTTTCGCCTCCTGCGTGGCGGCGATGAGGTTCGGCCGATCGCCCTTCGGCCCAGTGACGGCGAACCGCTTTTGCTTGCGTTTTTTCTCTGGAATATTCAACGTCACGAGCACGCCAAAGTCGTTGGGCTTCTCCGCCCTGCCGACCGGCTTCTCACTGACGTGAGTATGCGGCATGCTCCGCAGCTCAGCGAGTGACGACAGGAACGCGTCGGTCGCCATCTGATCCTTGGGTGCCACAGCAGGTGCGGGCGACGACGTGCTGGCCATCGCGGTGCAGGCTTTAGAAGGCTGCGAGCGCGGAACGCCAAATTTGAGCGTTTCGAGCGGTTGTTCATGGCGCAAAGGGGTACGCAAGAAAACTAACTTTTGAGCGTCGAAGTTACTTCGAAAAGTAAGCTGTTACTTCGAGAGAGCTCGCGGAGAGCTTTTACATGGTGTGTTTAACGTCGTGTGGCTCCCAGGGGTTGCCCGTTTACACGGTGGGGCCCATGGCCTTCTGAGGTTTCGTACTGATGACGTCCTCCTTGGCACTTCGGGCGTCGGTGTGTGTATGATTCCCTCGGTAATGTGCTACGGGTATGGGCCGCCGGTTCGACGCTACCGGTCCACGAACATCTACTATGAGGTCGGCCGGTGGCACCTCGGTGGTCGAGTGGCCTCCGGTTCGAAATCGGCGAGTTGACCCTTATATATTTTTTCACCCCTGAGCGGGCTCAATTTTGCTCTGATGCCTCCTACGTATTCGAATTCAAGTTCTCGGGCCCGGGGCTGGCACCCTGACCGTGGTCACAGAACCCGGACTACCAGCTACCACCTTACGTGCACTTCCCTAGAAAAAGAAACTCGAAGCGCCGCCCGACTGAAGAACAGAAGAAGAGCTCGCCGGATGACGGGGACAAGGACTCGACGGAGCCATGGCATAGCATGCAGGAGGCCATGGGGTTCACCGAGGTCGAGCGGCCAGCTTGGCTGCCTTGGAACTGGCCTTCTTCACTGCTGCTAGGGACACGTCTTGCCACTCCATTTCTAGCACGAGGTGGCTGTGCAGCTGCGCCGCTGTGAGCTCCTTTTGCGAGTTTTGGCGCACGCGCACCACGGCATCAATGAGCGGGTCTCCCGAGGGCGGCGAGGGGGGAGGAGGCTCCGGCGGGTTGGCAACTTTGGCCCTTTGTTTCTCGGCCCTGAGAAAGGCGCGCCGCGCTATCACCGCTGGGTTTGTGTCTGCAGCTGTGACTGCGGCCTGGCATGAAGAAGCAGCAATATTCGAGCGGTCGCCTGAAGAAACGGCCATCATAGCTCCACCTGGACCGAAAACGGCGTCCTGCCCAGTCAGGCTCATGTCAGAGAGCCTTTGAAACAGTGCCCCCGCGTTCTGCATATACTCGCGCTGATCTCTCCCTGATGCACATACGTGTTTGTGCCGTGCCTTCCAGTCTCGCCGCTGGCAGACTGGGCTGCAGTAGTACGGCACTTTGCAAGCAGCGCAACTCAAGAACTTGTGCTGCAGGTCTTCCGTATTCAAACAGCCACGGCTACCGCATTTCTTGTAGCCGAGTCGGCGAGGGCCCATTGTGATGGTGGAGAAGCTGTACCACCGCGGAACTGTGGCAGGGGTACCGGCCTTTAGCTCATCGCGAAGCACTGCTACTAGCTCACGGACGCTGCCGCAACCCCGACATGATATGAGCTGTCGAAGCATCTGTGCACGCAGAATTCGGAAGACGTGACGACGCTCGACATCGGTGATTGCATCACTGGCAGCGTAGCACTCGAGAACCATCAGGTCCGATGCTGTAAAGCCGAGCGCGGGAGGCCGCTTCTCAAATTCTTGCAGGCCTTCAGCGTCGGGCGACGGTGCTTCCAGCGCCTTGCCGAGCAGCAACGCGTGCACCTCGGGCGATACGATGCCACATACTCTGCATCCTCCTGCTCCTCAAGTGTCATCAGCCCCGGGTGGCTGACGTAGAGATCGTCGCCCATGGGCGTCGGTGTGTGTGTGTTGCCGCGCCCCGGGGAAAGAATTTTCCACCCAGTGGGCGGCAACAACATCAACCTTCGTCCTCCCATCCCTCCCTTGGGTTGTCTGTTTTCTTTCTTTCTTTCTTTATCAACCTTCTCAGCTCGGTGGAGCGGTACGACCCCGCGACGAACGCTTGGGAGGCGGCCGCGCCATTAACGACGGCACGATCTGAGCATGGCATCACGGTGGCGTAGAGGAAGCCTCGGGGCGAACGCTAGAGCCTAGAGGGTGCGACCGCTCCCTCTCGTGAGTCTTGTACTTGTCGCGTCGCGCGGGTGTGCTTTTCCGTTTTCGGTGCGGGGTCGTGTGTGTCGGATTTTTGGGGCCTATGCGCTATGGGGACGACCTGAACCCATGCTAATCCCTATAACTAGTGTACTGTCTACGAGGCGAACAGAACGATTCCCAGTCATTGCTCGCGCATGGCATCCGGTGCCCGCAGCAGCGCGCCTGACTGCTCCTTCTGCTCTCTCGCTGTGGCGAGAGCCGAGACCGCTTGTGGCTGGGGCTTTCACGGATGGATGTTGATTTTAGGCCCATCCTTCGGCCGTCGGAGCGAGATCAGCTCGCGCCCATGGGTTGGCTAGTGCTCTCGCCCGACCCGGGGCAGGAGCCTGACTTTGACCTCGTGGACGGGAGCAGCCCCAGCGGACCAAAAGGAGAGATCACGTGCAGGTGGGAGGCGTTGAGGCGGTGGTTGAGCACGTCGAGCGCGCTGCGGGGGATGAGCCGCTGCGAGAGCACGTGGTACAGGAAGCTCTTCTCCGGCTCCGGGTACTTGCCACGCGGGAACCACTCGGGCTTGCGTGTCACCAGGTGGCGGCACCCGTTGCGCTCGTACTCGGCGTCGGTCGCGTTGAGCGCGCAGCCGCGGTCCCACCGCTCCAGCGCATCGACGTGACGGCGCAGGTGGCCAAAGAACTGCCGCCGGTCGGAGAGGATCGTCCGCGTCAGCCCGAACGGTCGCACTCCCGGCTGATGGCGCGGGTAGCGGAGCCAAGACCATTTGCCGGCGTCCCACGCGTCGGAGCCGGCCTCGAGCATCGACCTGTAGTCGAGAGGCCAGTAGCGCTGGTCGCCAGTGGTCGTGAGCAGCCGCGCCGTCTCGAAGAACCCTTCTATCACCCGGGCGGCGATGTCACGACTGCCCCAGAAGATCCAATCCGAGCGCATGAAGAAGGCTCGGTTGGAGGCGACGGCCGGCTCCCAAGCTGGCAGGAGATCGATGGCGACCGGCAGATGCAGGTCGGTGCGAAGCTTGACGACCTGTGCGTACCGCAGAGCGCGGTGCCGTTCGTGCTCCTCCATTGCCCGATACGCCTGCAGCAGCCGCCAGAACTGGATCAACTGCTTGCGGTGCTCGGCCAGACCGGAGCCGAGGAGTCCCTCCAGGCCTAGCTGCGGATCGGGTGTTTGTTCGCGCCATCGCAGCCGCGCGCCACCACACGAGCTGGCGGCGTCCGGCGAGCGCAAGCAGGCCGCGGCGCGCTGTGTCTGCAGGCATCTGAGCGACGCGTTGTCGGAGGAGATGAACATGTCAAAGTGCGGAACGCCGGCGAACAGCGGCTTGCCGTGGGGCGAGACGAACTTCTGCGAGGCAAATTTGTGGAGGTCGCGCAGCTCCGAGCCGAAGAGCACAGCGACGCGCGCACGATGAGGGGTGGAAGCAGCCTCCATCGATCGACTTCACCGTGCCCCCATGCAGCCCACGCCGCCCGGGACGCGCCCGTCGTCGTGCGTTGTAAAATTCTCTGCGCCTGGATCCCACCGTGTTACGAGTAGTGCTGTAACAACGGTTTTCCTTTTGCTTCAAACGTGTGTTTGTAATGTGCGGATCACAGTAGCCCCGGGACCGGGGGGGGTCGGGCCTCACCCCACACCCGGGACTCACCCCGAGACCCCACCCCGGGACGCGCCGGCTGCGGGTGAGGCCCCACCCCCGGGGCAGTGAGGGGCAGGGGCGGGGCGGAGCTCCTCAGAGTGAGGCGCCCCGGGTGCCCCCCCACCCCCCCCACCCCGCCCCCCGGGCACCCGACCCGCCCTCAGCTCTCAGCTCCCCACCACGCAAGGTGCAGCGGACCGACCTGGTGGGCAAGCGGATGATGAAGACCTTTGGCGGCCATGGCACCTTCGTCGGAGATATCGTCTCTTACGAGACCCGGAGACGGGATGTTACCAGCAGGTCCGACCTAGGAGGACGGCGACAAGGAGGACCTCTCGCGAGCCTCTGTCCAGGCTGGCGTGCGGCGATTCCAGGCCCAGGCAAAGTGTGATGCGATCCGTCTCGCCGAGGCGCGCTTTTTTGCGTCCGCCTCGGTAGATGTTAGAGACTTTGTGCGTTTGGAGCAGTGCGGACTGTCTGTGCAGAGTAGAGTGGGGTCTCACCCGTTTAGTTGATTTGTAGTATTGTTCTGTGTGAGCGGTGGTGCCGCACAGGCCGCTCTCCCTCGCCTCGGCGGTGTGCGGGTGGTGCGGCGTGGCGCGGGCCGGGGGCGCGCGGTAGGCGTACGGGGCCGCGTTCGCGTGGCCCGCCCGTGGTGCCCCTGGCTGGGTCGGGCAGCGAGCTACCCCCCCGGGACGGCGCATCGCGAGTGAGGCCCCGGGGTGGGGCAGGTGAGGGAGGGGGCGGGGACGGCCGGGACCCGGTCGGTGAGCCCCGGGTGAGGCCCGACCCTCCCACGTCCCGCGGGCTACCCCTGGCGAGGTACTTCCAGCCTGCTGTGGGAACAGCTGACGCAGTCTCGCCGAGGCTCGCCCCAGCAACTCGGCCAGACAAAAACCCCGAGAGGCGTGTGAGTACCTCGCCAGGGCTACCCGGGTACCTCCGCGCTAGTGATCCGCACGTAAATGGCCGCGCACCGCATGGGCGCCCGGGTCGCGGGCCTCTCACCAGCGCAGCTGTGCGCCATCATCGAGGCGCAGGCGGGCGCGAGCGACGCCGCGCTGCGCGTGGCGGAGGAGCACACCGCTCGGCTCGTAGAGCAGCCCGAGTCGGTGCTCTCCGTCCTCCTCTCGCCGGACCTCGCCCCGCACATCCTCGCCCAGCTGCCGACCAAGGAGCACGCCGCCAAGGGGACGTGCCGCGCGTGGCGCCGCGGCTGGAAGGAGACGCTTGCGAGGCGCGAGAGGCCGCGACGCTTGCTCGTGTTTGGCGGCGTTAACAATGGCGGCAACAATGGTGGCGAAGAGATTGTCAACTCGATGGAGCGGTACGACCCGGCCGCGAACGGGTGGGAGGTGGAGGCTGTTGCGCCGATGCCGACGGCACGAAAATTTGTCGGCTCGGCGATGCTCGATGGCAAATTGTACCACGTGGGCGGCGATGGGGTCGACCACAGATCTTCCAGCTCGGTGGAGCGGTACGACTTGGCTACGAAAGCGTGGGAGGCTGTGGCGCCATTGGCGACGGCGCGGCAGGGTCACGGCGTAGGGGTGCTCGGTGGCAAGCTGTACGCGGTGGGCGGGCAAAGCGTCGGCGTCTCTCTCAGCTCGGTCGAGCGGTACGACCCGGCGGTGGATGTGTGGGAGGCTGTGGCGCCGATGGCGTCGGAGCGAGACAACTGCGGCGTGGCGGTGCTGGACGGCAGTTTGTATGCCGTGGGCGGGTACAGCAACGGCGGCGGCGGCGCCACCAGCTCGGTGGAGCGGTACGACCCTGCGACGAACGCGTGGGAGGCGGTGGCGCCGTTGACGACGGCACGATGCATTCATGCTGTCGCGGTGCTCGACGGCAAGCTGTACGCTGCTGGCGGGTACTCCGAAGGAGCAGACTACCTCAGCTCGGTCGAGCGGTACGACCCAGCAGCGAACGCGTGGGTGGCAGTGGCGCCGATGGCGAGTGCGCGGTGCTCTGTCAGCATGGCGGTACTCGACGGCAAGCTGTTCGCTGTTGGCGGTGAGAAGGAGGAGGTGGACGAAGACGAGGACGACGATGCCGGCTACTTCCGCCTGGTGGAGCGTTACGACCCGGCGTTGGATGCATGGGAGGCGGTGGCGCCGATGGGGACGGCGCGGTGCTTCCATGGCATTGCTGTTCTGGAAGTCGATTGAAGAGACCTTGCTCCACGCTCGCACTCGCCCCCCCCTCCCTGTTCTGACCCCGATTTAGCCAAAAAAATTCTTTTGTGTCGCTCTTCTCCTCCCGTCGCCTTTGAAAACGGCGAAACGGGGCCATGTCCGACTCCGAGGCTTCCATGCCGGGCCTGGAGCCGTTCCACGTGCGTCAGATCCGGATGGTCGAGCGCGTCCTCGGCCAGAAGGTGTCGCCACGCGACCACGCGATGATTGATTGTCTCGCGGAGCGCATGGAGAGGTACGGTTGGCACTCCGTCAGCATCAACCCGGTGCCGCTTGGGTATCAGTACATCATCCAGGCCAAGTCTGAGAAGAGGCGGGAGGATGAGGCCAGGCAGCAGGCCGCGCAGGACGCTGCGCAGCCTCAGCCTACCGCCACTTTCGCCGCACCGCCCGTGGCACCGCCTGCCGCCGCTGCCGCTCCGGCCGCAGCATCGCAGGCACACTCGCAGCACCAACAGGCGCAGCAACCCCGGCCCAACGAGTCGCCCGAGGGGTGGACGAGGGTCGGGAAGGGCGGCAAGCCGGACAGGTTCACCATGAAGAACTTCGGCCGCAACCCGCCAAAGTCGGGCAAGCGGAAGCAGGAACACCGCAAGCCCGCACCCAAGGGAGGTGGACCCCCACCCCCTTCTCCCAAGGTGGTGGACAAGAACAGGCTAAGCGCATTGGGCGCTGGCCCTTCTGGCACCAGCGGGAGCCACGAGCGCGCACCGCCGCGCTCTCCCTCCCCCACCTCGCCGCCTGCCAAATCGCCGCGGCCGTCTGCGCCTGCTTCCGGGTATGACTCCGAGCTCGAATTTTCCGACGCTGAGGCGCGGGATAGGGTGGCAGGGGTTGTGCACGACGCAGTGCAGCAGGCTGTGATGCAATATGGCTATGACGACGAGCTCTACCAGGCATGGAGGGACGGCAAGATAGGCGAAAAGGACTTGCCGGAGGAGGTGATGGCTATGACTTTGGACCTTTGCGAGAGGTGGCGAGCGGAGCAAGCGCGGTGTAGGCGCGCCCACGCGGCGCAGCGGCTCTCCCGCGACCATAGCCCCTCCCGCAGCCGCAGCCGTAGCCACAGCCCCAACTCTTGCTGCTCTTCTAGTGTCGGGTAGTGACCACAGGGGGTGAGGGGACGGATTGAAGATCCCTCACACCAAGATCGTGCAGGGCGGGGACACATGTCCCTAAATCCCATCTCGTCTCAGAGTTTGACCGTTTTTATTTATTCCTCCCGTTGCCAGAAAGGTGCCCCTGTCTCGAGGCCCCTGTGGCCTGTGGAGCTCCGTCGCCCCTTTGAGCTCCCACGCACGGACAGACGAGAGGACGAGGACGGACGCAAGTAGCAACAAATGGCGCCTCTCGTCCCACGCCTGCTTTGCGTCGCCCTCTTCGCGGCGGCCGGGAACGCCGCCGGGCAGAGATCCAAGTGCAAAAAGCGCGATATGGCAGGTTCGCTAGAAGACTGCAAGACTATTGTTCTTGACTTCGACAAGCTCAGCAAACCAGAGGTGCACAAAATCGTGGCGCTCGTCGGCTCTGAGAGCAACCTCCGGTTTCTGTCGCTTCGTGACAACGGAATCGACGAGGCGGACGCGCTAGCCCTGGCCGAGGCCCTCAAGCACAACCGCAATCTGTACTCGCTGCGCTACCGAGAGAACCCGCTTGGGGCGGCGGTGGTTGCCGCCATCGCCTCGCATCCGGCGCTCACGGACCTGGACGTGCGCGGAACGAAAATCGGAGACGAGGGCGCGGCGAGCCTTGCGCAACTGCTCTCGAGCAGTGCGGTGCTGACAGGTCTGCAGCTGCGTTCCGCCTCCATCGGCGAGAGCGGCGCCGTCGCGCTCGCGCGCTCGCTCACGCACCACCCGGCGCTCGCGCTCCTCGACCTCGGCAACAACGCGGTGGGGGACGCGGGCGCGGTGGCGCTGGCGGAGGCGCTGCAGACGAACCGAGTCCTCGAGAAGCTCGAGATTCAGAGTCCCTCCGTGACGAGCAGCGGGTGGAAGGCGCTCGACGACGCGATGGACATCAACGCCGTTGTGTCGGTCATCGGCTACCGAGGCGGAGGCCGGAAGCTGGAGCTGTGACTGTGAGTGAGACGGCACACTGTTGGCGCGGAACGCGCGCCCGGCTTGGCGGTTTGCCCAGCAGCGCGGGGGTTCGCGGCCTGCTCACCATGTCGCAGATACGCGAGTGGTGCAGGCTACAGCGGTCGGCAGCAGCAGTAGCGGCTACCGTCGTACGATGGAGCCGGGGTATTACGTAGTGTACACCGTACACGCTGGCCATGACATGCCAGCCGATGCTGAAGCCGCGGTGCCCTGCACAACCAAAGTCCAAATCCGGGTAGGGAAGCTCGGGCCCAAGTGCCCGACCCAACCATCGATGCCGCCCGTGGCCCCCATCGAGATGCTCGCCGACGTCACCGACGGCACTTACGAAGAGGGCGCTCGGCCGCCGGTCTTCCTTCAGCCTGCGCGGAGCGCGCCGTCCGACTCGCCGCCCGACTCGCCGTCGGACGACGCCGAGGAATCTGGAAAGCTTCCAGCGATGATTGTGGAGAGCGAGGCGGATACGTTCGGCGGGACGCGGCACCTCTGGACGGACGGCGTCTGGCGACCCGACGGGACGGAACCGCACGACGCGGAGCACGTGGTCTTTGCCAACGGCACGCAATACCCAGTCTACCTCACCGTCAGCCCAAAGGACGGAAAGTACCACCCGCTCAAGGAGGAGAGCGACGAGGAGAAGCTGGCACGGCACGGCCCCGTCGAGTCGGTCGGCGTCGTCTTCGCCTTCCCTCCGCTCGGCTGGCAGCGCATCAACATTGGGCGCCCGCTGTACGAGGCGCGACACGCTCTCCCTCCCCTCTCCCAAAGCATGTCCCTGACACGTCCATGACACGGGGTCCCTGACACGTGCCCGCAGGCGCATCCCGTCTTTCGCGCCGCGATCGACGAGGTGAGCGGCTGCACCGAGCCGCTGCTGCCGCAGCCGCTGCTGCAGGTGCTTTACCCGGACGAGATCGACGAGCCGATGTACGCCGAGGTCATCGAGCAGCCGCGGCGCTCTTCCACCGGTGTCGTGTCCTGTCTTGACTCCGATGTCTTGTCTCTGTAGGCCATCCAGCAGCCGCAGTGCGCCTCCTCCTCCCCCTCTCCCGCCCGCGAGCAGGACACGGACGTGGCACGGACGTGTGCATGCACGTAGGTACGCCCTCCTCTCCCTCTTTGCGCTCGAGTGCGGCCTCTGCTGCGTCGGGCCGCCTGCCGGGCCGCGGCACGCCCACGACACGTCCACGACACGTCCCCCGTAGGTACGCGCTGGGGCGGCTCTGGGCCGCCTGCGAGCCCGGCGCTAAGTATTGCACGCCGTGCGCCGTCGTCGGCCACGCCGTTCGGAGCGTCCGTCGCGCAGCAGAAGAGACAGCTGTCCCTCCACCAGACGAGCCTGTGTCCAGGCCACTCGCTCGGGGGGAGTGATGACAATAAGAAGGAGAAGGAGACGGAGACGGGTAGCCACACTGTGCTCAGGCCACTCGCTCGGCGAGTACGTCGCCGCCGTCTTCTCGGGCGCGCTGGACTGCGCCACGGCGGCCGCTCTCGTGTGCGAGCGCGGCCGGCTGATCGCCAGGCTCGCACAGCCCTCTGCACGACATTGAGACAACAATGGTGCGATCGTAGGCGCGGCCGGCTGATCGCCAGGCTCGCACAGCCCTCTGCACGACATTGAGACACCAATGGTGCGATCGTAGGCGCGGCCGGCTGATGGCGGAGAGCCCGTCGCGAGGTGCGATGATGTCTGTGCGCGCGTCTCCAGAGGCGGCGAGGCGCGCTGTACACGAGGCCGGCGTGGCGGGGCGGGCGGCCGTCGCTTGCTTGAACGGGCCTACGTCGGTCGGTTGTTGTGGCGAGTACGGCCGCCGGCTACACGCCTTCCTGCTCATGCGGCCCGCCCCTGCCGGCTGTTAGGTCGTGATCTCCGGCGAGTGGGCCGCCATCTCCGCGGCGGTGAAGCGGCTGCCTCCGGGCACCAAGGTGAGTCGCGCTGCGGCGACACACGCCCCACTCTGACTGGTCCTCCTTCTGCATGGTTGCCTCTTTTCCACTAAAGGTGACTCGCGTCGCGGCGACGCACGCCGACCACTCCCCTGCGATGGCGCAGCTCGCGCCGGCACTCGCGGCCCGGGCGGCGGAGCTCTACCGGCGGCACAGGCCGCGTTTGGCCGAGCTGTGCCCCGTGAGGAGATTACCCGAGATTACCCGAGATTACCCGAGATTACCCGAGCTGTGCCCCGCGAGGCGTCCCACCCGCACAAGGTCGGCCTGACTCGTGACACGAGTCGCTGCAGGCCGCGCCGGCCGAGCTGCCCGTGGGTCTCGTCGGTGACGGGCGACGTGGTGAGCGAGGAGGAGGCGGCGGACCCCGCCTACTGGGCCAAGCACCTCACCGCCCCCGTCGACTACATAAGCGCCGCCCCGCGCGCTGCTGCGGTTGTTGCTCGCGAGGCCCGCGACGCAGCCTTTAGAGGACGCGAGACTAGGCGCCGTCCGCTCGCTGCTGCGCGTCTGCTCCGCGCGTGAGAAGGCGCCGCCGTCGCGCGTGAGAAGTGATGACTTAGTGCTTCACTGTTGTGTGCGCATGAGAGGTTACTCATGCTCAAGGAGTGACTCCTTGTTGTGTGGGCAAGGCGCCGACGTCGCGTTTCGAGCGCAGCCGAGCGGTGGTTGTGGTTGAGATGGGGGAGGGGATGCTCACGCGTTTCGGCGAGACCCAGCCGAGATCTAGCCGAGATCTAGCCGAGATCCAGCCGAGAGACAGCGGAGAGACAGCGGAGAGACAGCTCACTCGCTTCGGCGATCGCCCTCCTCGAGGCTAGCTCTCTCCCCCAAGACATTTCCCAGACACTTCCCTTCGGAGGGACCACCCGCGTCGAGGGCACCTCTTGCCCCCTTCAGGCGACACTTCCCAGACACCTCGAAGACACCGCTCGCCCCCCTGCACATTTCCCTTAGGAGGGATCCGCGTCGAAGACACCTCTTGCCCCTCTGCAGGCGAGGCCATCCTGGAGAGCTGTCGCGCACACGAGTCGGAGGAGCCGCCGGAGGGCTTCGCGAGCGGACCTGTCCCAGACATGTCCACGACACGCCGCTCGCATCTCTCGCAGGAGCCGCCGGAGGGCCTCGCGAACGTTCGGTTCGCGCAGACGCTCTCAAAGGCAGCGCCGAGCCCGAATCACAAAAGAAAGCGTTGAGGGAGAGCTAAGGCTGCCACGACAATCCAAAGGCGGACGCCGCCGAGTCCGCCGCCGAGTATTGCGCGCGCGTCGAGGCCCGCATCGAGGAGCTGATGGAGCCGGTGCGGCGCGAGCGGCTGACGCGTTTCCTCCTCGAGCCCGACTCGGTGGACGAGGCGGAGGTCGAGCTCGCGTGCGCTGAGCCGGTCCAGCTCCCGTCGAGCTGAGTCGGAGAGTGGAGCTCAGGGCTGTGCTTCCAGACGAGCCTCTGCCCACCTCACGACGGCTACGCGGGGGCTCTAGCCGCAGGGCTGCACACTCTTTTTCTCTCCGCTCCCGCGGGTCCCCTCAGCCTCACCGCTCACGCGCACGCCCCCGCCCGCGCCCGCGCGCCCCGGCTCCTCTCGCTCGGGATTCGTTTGAGGAGTCGGGTGCGGACACTTCTCTGGGCCGGGGTTGACCATAATTTATGTTTGAAGAAACCTCGCCTAAACTCTCACTCTCTGTCCGTCTCGCCTCTTGCCTCAGCATCTCTCTCAACTCTCTCATCCTCGGGCGTTGAAGCCTTGCACGTAGTGCCTGTTGCGCATCGCATTGACGTGCGGCGCGATGGCGTCGGCGAGAGCGGTGCGCTGCTGCTGCAGGGTCGCCATGGCGTCGGCCGGCAGGCCGAGCGTCTCAATCTGCGCCAGCAGCGCGGCCACGAGACTACTCTCGTCGTCAGCGCTGCCACCGCCCGCGGCAGCTGCTGGCGGCGTGGCGGCAGCGGGCGGCGGTGACGGCGCGGGCTTGGCGGCCGCCGGGGCCTGCGGTGCGACGACGGCCTTGCCCTGGTCGAGCTTCTTCTTGTTGATCTCTGCCTGCTTCACCAGCTTCTTCAGCACCGACTTGGACAGCCCCTCCGGCGCCGGCGTCAAGAGCGCCTTCACCTGCTCCGCGTCGCCGGCCTCGATCGCAGCGACGACCTCAGGCGGCGCGACGTACTCGTCCTGCGACCTGTGCGACGCGAGGCGGAGGGTCGGAGAGCGAGCGAATGAGGCGGCGACACGCCGCGCCGGGCGCACATGGAACCGCAGACAAAAGAATTTTTACCGGTATCCAGCGCCGGCATCATCCAGCCCTAGCTTGGGATGTCCGTTGTATTTATTTATTTATTTATCATCCGTGAAGGCAGAAGTGTTCGAAGAGAGAGTGGACCTGAGCAACGATATGACTGGGCGGCAAATGATCGCAGTGGGCGTCAGAAGAGTCGTCCTTGCGCGAGGAGAGCTCGATAAACTCGAGGGGCCAAAATATGCCGCCAGCAGGACCGAGGAGGGCAGAGTTGCGCCGAAAAAGGCGCAAGAAGCAGCGAGAGCGAGGGATCGGCAGGCGGCGGCGCCGTCGCAGGACGAGGCAGAGGAGAGCGACGCGACAGCTCGAGGAAGAAGCGACAAGAGAGAGAGCGACGAGAGTGGGACGACCGCGAGGTGGCATGAAGCCTTGAAGGTTGCAGCGAGAATCGGCGAGGGACTGCGAAGGGAGATAGAAAGAGGCAGACGCCCAAGGGTTAGGGTGGGCGACGGCTAGCACCACACTCCTCTCCTTAAAATCCCTGTGTGGTGGCGGCGTGCCGTCCTCCCATCCATCCCTCCCTCCCTTGGGGTGTCTGTTTTCTTTGAAGAATAACGTGTAGAGGCCAATCGGTCGTCCGCGTAACCGCGGCTTGGCTGATGTAGTCATCTTGTCCCGACGCCGACACCCGCAAAAGAATTTACAACAACCTCCCTAGCACTACTCCCTAGCACTACTAAAAAGAAAATTTCCGCCCCGCCGAAGCTCGTGCATCTCAGCTGATGGCGGCAGTGATGACGCTAGTGCCTTTCCTTGTGCTCTCGGTTGCCGCAATCTCGCCTCCGCGCCTGCCAGCACTGCATCGGCCGGCTCGGTGCGCCTGCACGCTCCAAGAGCGCGCCGACCAGGAAGCGGGGCCAAGCTCGCCGGCAGTGTGGCTCGCGTCGAAACGCTCGCCTCCTGACGCACTTGTGCACGGCCGGGTCCCGACCCGAGAGGTGGACAGGCAGTCCTCGGTCAAGAAGCAGCTGGAGAGGGAGCAGTCGTCGGTCAAGGAGCAGCTAGAGAGGACCTTCGCCATCAGTGACGACGCGTCATCGCTCCTCGCGGCCGAGCTCTCCTGGGCGGCCGCCGAGGAGGAAGCCGCGGCGTCCGAGGCGGCGCTGCGAGGTGAGAAGCTAGCGATCGTCCTCTCCGAAGAGATCGTCTCCCTCGGCGTCGGCGCGGCGAGGCTGCTGCTGGGCTGCGTCGCACTCGTCTACGGCTCCAACTACGCGTCGGTCAAGCTCCTCGACGAGTGGGTGGGAGCGCCGTCGCTCGGTGGACGCCAGCCCGCCTGCCCGTCCTGACTACTCACTGCGCCATCCCTCGCTACCACCATCCTCACTGCATCCTCACCACATCCTCACCACATCCTCACCACCCCACTCTCACCACCCCACCCTCACTCCACCCCACCCTCGCTGCCTCCTCCAGGCGCACTCCTCCGCTTCGCGCTTTGCGGCTCCGTCCTCGCCCCGGCGCTGCTGCTCGCGGCGAAGCGGCGGCCGCGGCTGCTGAGCCTGCCGCTCGTAGCGAGCGGAGTCGAGGTCGGCGTGTGGATGGCGCTGGGGTACGTGGTGCAGGCGCCTCTCGGCTCCTCTCGGCTCCTCTCGGCTCCTCTCGGCTCCTCTCGGCGCCGACGGCTCCTCCAATCTCGGCCAATCTCGGCCAATCTCGGCCAATCTCGGCCAATCTCAGAGGCTTCCCCCCCAGAGGCTTCACCAGCCCGGCACGTGTCGCGCAGGCGGCGGCGCTGGAGACGTCGCCGGCGGGCGTGCAGGCCTCCTGCTCTCTCGCTGCCGTCCCCCTCCCCTCCCCTCCCCTCCGCTCCGCTCCCCTCCCCTCCCCTCCCCCACCCTTCCCCTTCCCCTCCCCTCCCCTCACCACCCCCTCACCCTCACCTCACCCTCATCCTCCCCTCACCCCCCCCCCCACACACACACACCAACCCCAACCCCCGCAGGCCTTCCTCCTCTCGCTCACCGTCCTGGTCTGCCCGGCCCTTGAGACGGCGCTCGAGGCCGAGGGCGGCAGCCAATCGCTGGTGTCGCTGTGCACTAGTCTGCAGTCTCTCGCATCAGGCGCTCGAGGGGCATGTCCAGCCGCGGCGCGTGTGGGTCGCCGCCGCCCTCTCCGCCGCCGGCGCCGAGCTGCTCCAAGGCGAGGCGACTCCTCGACTTCTCCGAGACTCTTCCTGGAGCCGTCCTGCAGGCGTCGCGCTGCTCGAGCTTGGCAGCCTGCACGGCGGCGGAGGCGCTAGCGGCGGACTTCTGCACAGGGCGCCCCGCGAGCTCGCCCGAGATGACGCCGAGATGACCCGAGATTAGGCGGCGGACCCACGCAGGGCGACCTGCTCGGCCTGCTGCAGCCGCTCTTCTTTGGCGTCGGCTTCTGCGCGCCTCGAGGCGGCGGGAGAGGACTCACGAACACCCGAGACCACCCAAGACTAGGCGTCGGATTCTACCGCCTCGAGGCGGCGATGGCGGAGCACACCGCCCCACCGCCGCCCGCACCGCCGCCGCCCGCGCCGCCGCCCGCGCCGCCCGCCGCCGTGGCGGGCTCGCATCTCGACCCGATCTCTGATTTCGCGCCGATCTCGCCCGATCTCGAGCCGACCTCGCCCGGCTCCGTGGCGCTCGCGCTGACGGCCCCCCCGACGGGCGTGGTCTTCTGCCATACTCTTTCCTCGCCCCCCACCCCTCCTTCCTCGTCAGCAGGCCTTCCAGATGGGCGTGGTCCTCTGCTTCGCCGCCGGGTGGGCGCTGTGGGACGTCGGCGGAGACGGCGCAGAGCTGGCGCGAGCCCCCCCCTCGCCCTGA